TCTCACCACTCCAATTCAACAGAGTACTGGAGGTTCTAGCCAGAGGAAATGGGCAAGAAAAATAAATAAAAGGCATCCAAACCAGAAAGGAAGAAGTAACATTGTCTGTTTGCAGTTGACATGATGTTATATATAGAAAATCCTAAAGACTCCCCCAAAAGACTATTAGATTAAATAAATTCATTCAAGTTTCAGGATACAAAAATCAACATACAAAAATCAGTCATGTTTCTATACACTAACAATGAACTACCTGAAAAAGAAATAAAGAAAATAATCCCATTTACAACAGCATCATAAAAAACAAAACACTTAAATTTAACCAAGGAGCTAAAAGATATGTACACTAGGGCCGGCCCTGTGGCTTAGCGGTTAAGTGCGCGCGCTCCGCTGCTGGCGGCTGGCGGCCGGGGTTCGGATCCCGGGCGCGCACCACTTCTCCGGCCATGCTGAGGCCGCGTCCCACATACAGCAACTAGAAGGATGTGCAGCTATGACATACAACTATCTACTGGGGCTTTGGGGGGAAAAAATAAATAAAAATAAAAATCTTTAAAAGATATGTACACTGAAAACCATTAAGGCATTGATGAAAGAAATTGAAAATGACACAAATATAAGGAAAGATACCCCATGTTCATGGATCAGAAGAATTAATACTGTTACAACGTCCATATTGCCCAAAGCCATCTACAGATTCAATACAATCCCTATAAAAATTCCAATGGCATTTTTCACAGAAATAGAAAAAACAATCCTAAAATTCATATTGAACCACAAAAGATCCCAAAGAGCTAAAGCAAATTTGAGAAAAAAACAAAGCCGGAGGTATTATACTTCCTGATATTAAAAAGCCATAGCAATCAAAACAGTATGGAATTGGCATAAAACCAGACACATAGACCAATGGAACAGAATCAAGAGCCCAGAAATAAACCCTTGTATATACGATCAGCTAATATTGGACAAGAGAGCCAAGAATGCGCAATGGGGAAAGGACAGTCTCTTCAATAAATGGTGCTGGGAAAACTGCATATTCACATGCAAAAAAATGAAAGGTATAAGACCCCTGTCTTATACCACTCAGCAAAATTAACTTAAAATGGATTAAGGACTCAAATATAAGGCTGGAAACTGTAAAACTACTAAAGGAAAACATAGGGCAAAAGCTCGTTGACTTTTTGCTTGGCAATGATTTATGTTGCACAAGCAACAAAAGCCAAAATCAAAAAAAGGGACTACATCAAACTAAAAAGCTTCTTCACAGCAAAAGAAACAATCAACAAAATAAAAAGGCAACCTACAGAATGGGAGAAAATATTTGCAAACCATCTACCTGATAAGCAGTTAATATCCAAAAATATAAGGATATTTATAATATGGATATATATAACTCAATACAAGGATATATAAGGACATATACAACTTAATAGCAAAAAAAACCAAATAATTCAATTAAAAATAGGCAAAGGACCTGAACAGAGATTTTTCCAAAGAAGACATACCAACAGCCAACAGGTACATAGAAAGGTGCTCAACAGCACTAATCATCAGGGAAACGCAAATCAAAACCACAGTGAGATAACACCTCACACCTGTTAGAACGGCCATTATCAAAAAGACAAGAAATAACAAGTGTTGATGAGGATGTGGAGAAAAGAGAACCCTTGTACACTTTCGGTGGAAATGTAAATTGGTGCAGCCACTATGGAAAACAGTATGGAGGTTCCTCAAAAAATTAAAAATAGGAACTACCATATGATCCAGCAGTTCTACTTCTGGGTATTTCTCTGATGGAAATAAAAACACTAACTCAAAAAGATATATGCACCCCCATGTTCACTGCAGCAATATTTAAAACGGTAAAGACCTAGAAACAACCTAAGTGCCCACTGATGGATGAATAAAGAAAATGTGATGTGATATATATATATGAATATTATTCAGCCACGAAAAAGAAGGAAATCCTGCAATTTTCGACTACATGGATGGACCCCTTGAGAGCATTATGCTAAGTGAAATAAGTCACTCAAATAAGTACTCTCAAAACTCAGCTTAAAGGGAGACCTTCTCTGATACCAAAATCAAAAAATTATTGTAAAATTTATATGGAAAGGCAAAGAAACCGAAATAGCTAAAGCAATTTTGAAAAACAATGAAATAGGAAGAATCTGACTACCCAATTTCAAGACTTATTCTGTAGCTACAGTAATCAAAATCATGGTATTGGTAGAAAGAGAGACACACAGATCAATGGAACAGAACAGAGAATCCAAAATCCCACAAACTTGCCCAACTGATTTTTGACAGTGATATCAAAGCAATTCATTAGGAAAAAGATAGCCTTTTCAACAATGTTTCTAGAGCAAGCAGACATCCACAGGGAAAAAAGTAAACCTCAACCTAAGTCTCACATCTTATATAAAAATAAACTCAAAATGGATCATGAATTTAAATGTAAAACGTAGAACTTACAGAAAAAATAAGAGAGAAAACCTTCAGGATCTAAAGCTAGGCAAAGAGTTCTAAGACATGACACCCAACAGCGTGATTCATAAAAGTAAAAAACTGATAAACTGAACTTAATCAAAATTAAAAACTTTTACTCTACAATACAGCCTGTTAAGAGGACGAAAAGATAAGCTACAGACTAGGAGAAATAGTTGCAAACTGAATACCTGACAAAGATTTAGTATCTATAATATATAAAGAACTCTGAAAATACAACAGTAAAAAAAATAATCCAATTAGAAAAAGGGCAAAAGACATAAAGAGACATTTCACCAAAGATGCTCTAAAGATGGCAAATAAATACATGGAAAGATGTTCAACATCATTAGCCATTAGGGAAATGCGAATTAAAACCACAATGAGATATCACTACACACCTATCAGAATGGCTAAAATAAAAAATAGTGACAACACCAAATGCTGCTGACAGGATGCAGAGAAACCAGACCACTCATACACTGCTGGCAGGAACGTAAAATGGTACAGCCACCATGGAAACCAGTTCGGCATTTTCTTAAAAAACTAAACATGTAACTACTACACAACCCAGCAACTGTGGTCCTGGGCATTTATCCCAGAGACATGAAAACTTCCATTCACACAAAAACCTGTACATGAATGGTTATAGCAGCTTTAGTCATAAAAGCCCAAAACTGGAAACAAGCCAGATCTCCTTCAACAGGTGAATGGTTAAACAAACTGTGGTACATCCATACCATGGAATACCACGCAGCAATAAAAAAGAATGAACTGGGCTGGCCCCGTGGCTTAGCGGTTAAGTGCGCGCACTCCGCTGCTGGCGGCCCGGGTTCGGATCCCAGGCGCGCACCGACGCACTGCTTCTACGGCCATGCTGAGGCCGCGTCCCACATACAGCGACTGGAAGGATGTGCAGCTATGACATACAACTATCTACTGGGGCTTTGGGGGGAAAAATAATAAATAAATAAAATCTTTAAAAAAAAAAAAAAAAAGAATGAACTACTGATACACTCAACAACTTAGATGAGTCTCAGGGGCATTACACTGAGCAAAAAAAAGTCTCTCACCTTAAGGTGTTAGCACTGGCTATACTTACCACAAACCTGGATCTCACTCCCTTGTTTCCTTGAAGTCTTTATACAAATGTCACCTTTTCAGCGGGGAAGGCATCCTAACCAATTGAACAAAATTGCAGTTTGCCTAACTGACCCGCCCTGTTGCTCTCCCCTGTTTTTATTTTCCTCCACAGCACTTATCACTATTGTCTTAGTCAGCTTGGGCTGCTATAACAGAATAGCATAAGCTGGGTGGCTTAAACAACAGAAATTTATTTCTCAGAGTTCTGGAGGCTGTGGAATCCAAGATCAAGGTGCCAGCAGATTCAGTATCTGGTTAAGAGTCACCTCCTGTTCATAGGCCATCACCTTCTTGCTGTAACCTCACATGGTATAAGGAGACAAAGGAGCTCTCTGAGGTCACTTTAATAAGGGCACTAATCTCATTGATGAGGCTGCTGCCATCATGACCTAATCATCTCCCAAAGGCCCCACCTCCAAATACCATCACATCAGGAATTAGGTTTCAACATAACGAATTTTCAGGGGGGGGACAAATACTCAGTCTATAGCAACTACCTAACATCTTACATATTTTGTACGTGTGTGTGTATATATATATATATATGACTTACTTTTATTTTGTTCACTGCTACTCCCAGAGTCTAGAACAATGCCTGGCACATAGCAGGTGCTCAATTATGATGTACTGAGTAAAATGATACCGACTAATGTAAAACAGCAATAAGCTCAAAGCAAGTACCAGTGATGTTACTTTTCATGCAGTACTAGAACTGTTTATTGCTGCTTTCTATTAAGACATTTTATTTTTATTTTTTGGGGGGGAGTTT